CTGTTGCAAATCTGCAACGCCTGCCTGGAGAGGTTAAAAAAAACACCTCTAAAATAAAAGCAATGCCGTTTAGTCAAGCCAGACTGGCGCCACCTAGTGCCTCCGCTCAATTTCATTTCTCTCCAGCGACTAGGTCAGGAATCAGAATACACTAGACGGGTCACAAAAACGCAGAAGTGCAAGTTCGGGCGCCAGCCAATCAGCGAAGAGCCATATATCCTGTGTTGTCAACAATTTCAGAGATCGAGGATTTAAAGATGGAACAAAGAGAATGTTTGGTGAATTTTAACAAGGGGAAAGATGTTATTGTCCTTCTTCCTACGGGATTTGAGAAAAGCTTAATATACCAGTTAGCTCCGTTAGCAGCGCATTACATACGCCACGACTAAATAGCAGCGATTGATTAAATAATAAAAAGTACCCACCTACTGTTGAGCGAATGAATCCTAATGCTGTGAGGCCAGACAGTTTCTACGAAGTGAAACCGGCTCATGAATCAGGCTAGTTTTAATCCACGTATGCAAAATGATAAAATATGTTTATTTTGTTGTTCCAAATGAGCTTATATGGGCAGGTCTGAGTCAACCAAAGGACCGTATGTGGCCCCGAAGCTGGATGATGCCCAGGTCTGCCTTAAAATGTTTGTTTTAACCCGCTCTGTGTGATGCTGGTCTTTTTATTTCACAATTTTGTTCAATTCTGCTTCTTTGAGAAGTTCTGAAGAAGCAGCTTGCGAAATGTATTTGACCAAATAAACTCTAGTCCGGTCGACAAACTGTATTTCTCCTTTACCATGAGATATAATTACAAACAACTTAAGTTTTGCTGCAGTGTGTTATGCATTAACTAATTAGAGATGAAAATCACACTTTTTTTTCTTTTTTTCTAACTAATACGTTCAGTCAAAGCCAAAATTACTGCATGAATACTTGCAGCTGTTTTTTGAGCGCCACCAAATGAAAAAGTAACTGTACCATAATACAGTCACTTCAAATTAGTATTCAGAACACGTATTTACAGTTATTTCCCAACACTGTCCATAAACAACAGAGCAAAGAGCAAAGACCCTGACTGAACTCGTTTTCAACTCAGTATGACTACAAGGCCACGCACCACAGTTTGAGAACCATAGCTCCAATACGAGAGGTGAAAAGGACCCGCGAGTTCATTCAGCCCGTTTAGGACACAAGCGTCTTTCTTCTGCCATGTCTAAATGATGTCTTTAGCAAAACCTCAGTAAACACGATTACACTGGAATGATATAGCGCATTTTCCAGCGTTTTTAACAGGTCTGACATACCACGCAGCTCAGTTCAGTGTCTGTGGCGTCCGTCCAGGTAGTCAGTGGAAAGTCAGGTGCAGGAGACTTTTATTTACCCAGCGGTTACTCAAATTAAAACTAAAACTATTTTCCCCTCGTCGGAAAAACATACATTCTAAAAGCAGCGCCGCGCCACACCCAAGTCAATATTATTCTAAAGACGCGCTTACTTGGGCTGAACGATCTGGGGAAAACATCTAATACACATTTTTTCGAAAAGTATTGTGATAGAGAGTGAAAAGAAAGGAAATTTGTCTTAATAATAGGATTCTGTCTCTGCATTAATATGATGCCTGATAACAATATTGAGCTTTTAAAATCCATATTAAAACACACATTTACATAAAAAGTATCATAAGTTTCTGGTGGTGCCACTTTACCTGCATGGAAATCAAAAGTTAAAACCACACTTTGGAACATTCCCCATGGAGATAAATAAAAATTGTGTGCCATATTGTGAAAAATAATGATCCAAATGAACGACAGGCCAAGTAAGAGTCAGGTTTGTGGAGATGCAAGCCCACTCACAGTAAGGAAATGTGTCAAAAACAATCAGTCTTGAATAGGACTGGGTATCATGAAAATGTTGTTGATACGATACATACCTCGATACAATGCACTTTCTGTTCGATACGATATATTTCAAATCGATTAGATACGGTTCAATAAAAAATAGTGGCTAAATCAAGTCTCTGTTAAACCACTTCTTGTGCAAAGTTCATACGAAACACAAACATTTTAATCATCAAAACCGTGAAAATGTCAAATGTGTCGCATAAACAAGTTTCCTTCCACTAAACAAGCAACAAAACTGTAGCTGTAACAAAATAATTTAGTAAAATATACCAAAAAATACTGCTGATGATATATCGATACAGCAGCCCACGATATCGATACTGTATCATCACATTAAATAATACGATATATTGTATTGTTTAATTCAGGGGTCTCCAACCTTTTTCCTCCGGTGAGCTCCTTTACAAAACAAAAACGTCAGAGAGCTCCTCATTTTAGTGTAGAAAAGACATTCAGATGATTATAAGAAAGAGGGCAAGCCATGGGGCACAGTTAGACGCCTATAAAACATAAACCACTGTCCATTTATTTGTGCACAAAGTTGGGCCTCAAAATGATACATGTACAATAGTTATACGCATGTAATTAACCAATTTTTTGTTATTATGTTATTAATTATTAGTTAAGTTGTTATGTATAATTCAGAAATCCCTTGGCGAGCTACTTGGAAGGAGGTGGAGAGTTACTGGTTGCTCCTGAGCTACAGGTTGCAGACCCCTAGTTTAATTTGATGATACAGTATCGATATCATGGGCTGCTGTATCGATATATCGCCAAGGTTTTTTGTTTTTTTTTTGGTATATGTTACTAAATTATTTTGTGAAAGAGCTACAGTTGTGTTGCTTGTTTGGAGAAAGTTTACTTGTTTATGCGACACGCTTGACATTTTCACGGTTTGGAATAAGATTTGTGTTTTTCATATGAACTTAGTGGTTTGATAAAGACTTTTAATATCAGAGCCATGATTTAGCCTTTTGTTTTTAACTGAACCGTAAACACGCATCCCGAATTTCTGACTTCCGGTCATCGCGTAATGGGATGTGAGCATCAAATCGTCATGTTTGTTTTCCCAGTGGGATGCGTCTATTGATAAAGCCAATCTTTTCACGTCTTTTGAACCATATCGCTTTTGTTTTTGGTTCTGATATTGTCATATTTTAGTTATGAGACATCGTAATTGTGTGGTTGTTGGAAATTTGGGATGCATGTATTGAATCGTCTTGAAATATATCATATCGAAAGTGCACTGTATCGAAAACCATATCGTATTGTGGCCTATGTATCGAGATATATATCGTATCAGCAATTTCTTAATGATACCCAGCTCTAGTATTAAATATCGACTCAATATCGGCTATCCCTAGTTCAGAGTTCACGTTTTATACACAACCAGAAGATTTGACAAAAAAGAACTGGAATCTGAGCAGACACACAAATACAAGAATCACATTTCAGAACATCTTTGTACAGATCGAAAACGACAGCGTTTGTAGTTTTCATGCAGAATAAAACAGGAGACTTTGTTGTTTGTGAAGGAAAACGTTACTTAAAAAGTGTGCAGCCATTCGAGGTGCACTATGTCATTGTTTCCCGAAGACTGGGTCGCATGTAGGTCTGCAATATACAGTTCTGACACACGAGAGAGCGAGTGAGTCAGCGAATCCCGTCGGCCTGCCCTGAGCGAGTGTTCCTGCAGCTGAAGTTGAGAAATGCTTGCTTGGTTGTCCAAAAAGAAGGGTGATAAATCAGCAAAGGTCAGTGCACTTCAGGATACTTATGGAGCCTTTTATTGCTGGTTCAATTACTGTTTTTCATTAAAATACTAATTAGTTCAGAGACACGATCAGTCAACAATAAAATATCCTCATTAATGTTCAATAATGGTCAAGTCCACCTTTTATTTTGTGATTTACGAATAATGTCTGTTGACTTTGGTCGCGAAGGTTTGTGACTTTTAAAATATGGGTCCCCAGAGAAAAAGTTTGGGAAACACTGCACTATGTAACTTTTTGTTTGGGAGTCTATCACCTGCTTGTTTCTATGGATGTCATTGCTCTGCCTGGAATGTTCCACAGTGTGACATTAAACACTTCTACTTTACATTTATTCAATTACAGGTGGTTTTATAGCTCCAAAATACCTGGAAAAACAACATTCTGACTGTGAGTGGGTTTGCCTCTCCACAGATCTGACCTGTAACTTGGTCTGGTTTGGTCTCCATGAAGACAAAATGCCTTGATGCCAGACTTTGAAATATTCCAGACAAAACAAAAACGCATCCACGGAGAAAAGGATTTGACTAGAGATGTAACAACAACCGAAATATCGTGATATCGTATCGTCAGAGTTCTCACAATGATATCTTGGACCATCACAATGTATCGAATTACAAGTGTCTTTGCTTAAATTAAGAGTTGTGGTGCAGAAATTGCTAAAAATAAGACAGAGGGAACTACATAGACCATGATCCTTTGCTTCAATTCAGTGCAGACTACAAGAAGAAATAACAGTTCTAAGCACTTTTAAGTCTTAGTTCTTTGGATTGAGTCTTGTCAAGGCATTTTAAGAGGAAAAACAGTTAATAATTTGGTTTGCCTCCACAAAATATCGCAATAAATATCGTACCGTGAGATGTATATCGTGAAAATATCGTACCGAGAGATTTGGATATTGTTACATCCCTAATTTATTTGATTTTATTTGGATCCCCATTAGTTGATGTCCGTGACACCAGCTGCTCTTCCTGGGGTCCACATATAACACACAGCAAGACACTGACAAACAAAACACTTACACAAAGATTAAAATCATTTAAAAAAAAATACTTTCTAATAGAAATCATTACTGCTTACTTGTTGCGAAGGGCTAAAAAAAATGTAAAAAAATATATAAAAATAAATAAATAAAATAAAATTAAAAATAAAAAAAATAAAAAATAAATTAAAAAATAAATAAACAATCATGAGCCTTTCCACCATATCGTGAACTTTCCCATGATATTGCAATAAATATCGTATCGTGAGATTTGACAGAAGCACCATCGGAAAAATTACACTGTGCACCTTTCAAATTGCGTTTTCGATTGCGATTAATCAGAACTTACCTAATATATTCACGTAGGTGGACGCTTGCGTGTTGCCCAGGGGGAAGGTGGCCACTTTGCAGGTGTACGATCCGATGTCCTCGAAGCCCACGCCCTCCAGGATGATGGTGGCGTCGCGCACGGAGGGGGACACGAAGGACACGCGGCGCAAATAGTCCGGGGACACCGACGTTCCGTACTCGGGGTTGAACACGGCCAGGGTGAGGGTGCCCGAGGGGAGCTGGCGTTCCCACGAGCTCTGGGTCAGGCTCAGGTTGGAGCCCACCTCGATCCGGCAGCTCAGAGTGATGTTCCTGCCCAGCACCGCGTTGATCCTGTCGGGGACGGTCACCTGGCTGCTGCCCACGCCTGCACAACACAAACAGAAGTTGTACGGTTAGAGAAAAGTAGACACGAGTAGGACTAGGGCTGGATACGATACATAGGCCACGATACGATACATATCTCGATACAGTGAGCTTACGATTCGATATAATTCAATACGATATATTTCAAATCAGTTCAATATGGTCCAATAAAGAATAATGTCTAAATCATGGCTGTGATACTAAAAGTCTTTGTTAAACCACTTCTTGTGCAAAGTTCATATGAAACACAAACATTTTAATCCTCAAAACAGTCAAAATGTCAAATGTGTCGCATAAACAAGTTTCCTTCCTCTGAACAATCAACAAAACTGTAGCTGTAACAAAATAGTTTAGTAAAATATACCAAAAAAAATACTCTTGGCGATATATTGATACAGCAGCCCATGATATCGATACTGTATCATCACATTAAACGATACGATATATCGATATTTCAATATTTTTGCACACCCCTATGTAGGCCCTTTTATGAAATAGAAGATTGTTAAAATACCCCAAATAACTTTTTACTACAGTATTCTTCACACCGGATTATGAGGCACAATATCAATAATGTTGAATTCTCTCGTCTATTTTCATACATAAGGTGCACCGGATTATAAGGCGCATTAAGCAAAACAAACAGACGACACTTGAGACTGATCCCTTAGCCCAGGTATCCACGATCCATTGGCGTAATCGTGGCGTAATTCGCCTGGCGTTGCCTCCCTGTCTTTGTGAATGTGGATTATGAATGTGAATGTGAGTGGATAATTTAAGTTTTTTTTTTTTTTATTTCCTACGAGGACGACTCAAATATACATTGAGTAATAATGTGTTCAGTGCAGCTTTGCGCATATTTGTTTATGTTTTACAGAAACAAAACTTAAAACCACATAAACTATAAGCACTGAAAAAACAGCTCGCTCCTTGTGTGCTGATGCAGTTCAGCTTCTGTTGGACTAAAGAACATGACCCATATGTGTTCTTTCTCCAACAAAGCGATGGTGTCAGTGTGTGTTGAGTTGACGCAGAACTATACTTCGCTCTTTACTCCGCGAGGTTCCTGACTACAGTAGCCGTAATGCTCCGACAATCCATCAAGCGGTGCGGCTTCGTAGTTTACCAAAGTCGTACGAAAACATTTTGACAGATTTTTGAGCGCCATGTACCACATAAAATCGGTTCGAGATCAGTAAACACAACCAGAATTAATACATAAGATGCACTGCGGATTTTTGAGAAAATTAAAGGATTTTAAGTGCGCCTTATAGTCTAAAAAATACGGTACTTGTTTGACCATAGCAAAGGAGCCTTAAGTGTAGTTATCTTCTCCCTTCAGACAGATATAAGGCAGTGTCCAGAACTGAAGAAGCAGCTTGGATGAGTTGCGAAACATATCCGATCAAAAAACTTTTGTCCAGCTGACAGAATGTAATTTCTCCTTTGCTATGGATCCTCCCTGGACGACGGAGGGATTACACAAACTACTTGTCAGACCGCTCTTTTTGTTTTATTTTCCACTCTCGCAGTTCTTTCTAGACTTCGACCGACAAGGATATGATATACTTATAATCCGTGACAGTCGTGGAACATAATGTTATAATCTGCAGATTTTAAAACGCAATGTTGATTTTAAATGACATAATAAAAGAAACATGTCCGCTGACGTCCGTGTTCGAAAACCGAGGTGCCCAGTGGGAGCTGACGTCACAAAATGGAGTCTTGAAATTCATTGATTAAAGATTACTCAGACATGCACAAATACAACTTCAGGTTAGTAAACATGGTTAAAGCTCTGAAAAGTTTAATTTCGTCGTAAAAGTACTACTAAAAGTGCAAATATATAACCCCGTATTGGCCAAAAGTATCAGGTTTATATTTGTTATGGTCCATCTCTCGTACTTTCTCCTCCACTTTCCCTTTGACAGCTTGGAAGAGGCGTCTGCTGCTTTGACGTATTTTGAAATGACTAATGAATAGCTGACGAGTTGCAGAGCTATAGCTTAACGTGCACTCTGCTGCAGCTCTGTTACTTGCTTGTCTCCATGGAGATGTTATTTCTTTTCCCAGGCAGTTCCACAGTATGGCATTAAACTTATCTCCCTGAAAACAACAAGTCCATTTAAGGGCTGGAATTCACAGTGGATAAAGTGTAACACACAAGAATACATCCCGGTGTCCTTTGGAAGTGTTCACAAAAAGGATACTGTCAGTGTTGGGGAGTAACAGATTACATGTATCGGCGTTATGTAATCAGAGTACAATTTTATGAGTAACTGTATTTGGTTACAGTTACTGTTTCAATGAGTGGTAATTGGATTACAGTTACTTTGTTGAAATAAATGGATTACACAGCGGTATTTTCCTGTTTTCACATTTTGGGCTAAACCAGGACTAAAACCAGGACTAAACTAGGACTAAAACCAGGACCAAAACCAGGACTAAACCAGGTCAAAACCAGGACTAAACCAAGACTAAACCAGATCTAAAAGCATGACTAAAACTAGCACTAAACTAAGACTAAAACAAGGACTAAAACAGGTCTAAGCAGGACTAAAACCAGGACTAAACTAGGACTAAAACCAGGACTAAACCAGGTCTAAACCAGGTCTAAACCAGGTCTAAACCAGGTCTAAACCAGGACTAAACCAGGTCTAAAAGCAGGACTAAAACCAAGACTAAACTAGGACTAAAACCAGGACCAAAACTAGGACTAAACCAGGTCTAAACCAGGTCTAAACCTGGTTTAAAAGCAGGACTTAACAGGACTAAACTAGGAGTAAAACCAGGTCTAAACAATATGACACCTAACAGTAGGTTGGACATAATTTAAAGCAGCAGTGATCTCATATAAAAATCATTTCTCTATCAATAATATTTTTAATATGGTTAAGGAAAGACTGAACTTTTTATTTTCTTTTAGCAGATAAAACATCTCATGTTAAGATTTCCTCGTCTTCGCTTCTCTACAGTAAACAAAAGTCTGTTCATGGAGACTTGGGCTCAACCAATTTGAAGAGAACAAACAAGGATTTTCAGGATGTGGTTGTTACATTCATGTAGTTTTAAAAAGCAAGACAATATCAAGTAATCCAAAGTATTCAGATTAGGTTACTCACTTTAAGTTATTTAATGGATTACGTTACAAACTACATTTTAGGGTGTGTAATCTGTAATCTGTAGGGGAATACATTTTTAAAGTAACCTTCCCGACACTGGACACTGTAGAGTCCAGGATTTCACAGACTTTTAAAAACTGATTTATATCGACTAATCTACAAATTTATGTTATACAGTGATTTAGAGTTATTTTTATGCAGTAAAACACCGAACATGAAAAAGAGAAAAGGCAGGGGAATAGGATTAAATTATATCAATGTCCGTAATGAAGAAAACAGTGCAGATGAATCATTGGCTTCAAGGTGAGCCAGTTTGTAATGTATAGCAGGAAACGCAGCTGGAATAAGAATGATAGACTTGTACTATTAAAAAAGAAGAGTTCGTGAGACTGAGTTCCTCTACACGATATCAAGTGCACACACATGAGGAAAATGAACTTCTGGGATTTGTTTCCTCGTATTTACATTTGGACTGGACAAAAATAAGTAAAGCGCTGATCGGTTTCGTCTCTCATCTGTATAGGAATTATGTTAAGGTCCCATATTACCGTATTTTTCTGACTATAAGTCGCATTTTTTTCATGGTTTGGGTGTTTCCTGCGACTTATACTCCGGTCCGACTTATATATTAAAATTTTCACACTGACAGCTAAAAGTAGGGATGTCAAAAGTATCAACAATCAGACTCTAATCGACACTAAAACTAGGATATAATACAGAAACTAGACACAAGCTGATGGCACTGCTTTCAGCTCATGGGATACGTATAAATAAATAAACAAATACACAGGTATTGACACTAAAAAAGTCACATTCCCTCGAAAAAGCAGAGCCCTTAGAATGATCTTGAAGTACGTCAGAGCATGTAAGTGTAAACCCACATTGACTACAGACCACGATTACACAGATATAAGATTGCATGGTAATATAAGAAAGTATTGCATTTCTTGAACTATAAGTTGCACTTTTTTCATGGTTTGGGTGTTTCCTGCGACTTATACTCTGATGCAATTTATATATTAAAATTTTCACGCTGACAGCTGTGAGAGGCTCCAGTCTTGTGTGTCACTTGGCTCTACTGCGCATGTCTCCTGCAGAAAGAGCCGCTGTCCTGTCTGTATCATGTCAGTCGATCGCACCGTTACGTTCTGAACCACTGAAAATGTGAAAGTGACTCCAGTGACACCGAAAACCATCCTGTCGGGATTCAGAAAAAACAGAATAATTCTAACTGGAAGCTTTACGACAGCTACACAGAAGAGGAAGCGGTGCTCTGTTTACCTCTGGAGGTTGTGGAGTTGCTCAGATGTGACACCGAGATGAAGAATTGAATGGATTTAGTGATTTGGAGTGAGATGAAGAGTTTGTTAAACTTGTTCTGTTCTGTTGTTTATGTTATATTTATCTGAAGAACTGTTCATGTGACGTTAACAGTCTGTTGTTCTCTGTTCTATTGTTATTATTATTAAGATGAAATGTTGTTTCCTTGTCTCTGATTTTATAAAATTTATTTCCCCCCAAAAGTCTGACTTATATATGTTTTTTTCTTCTTCATTACACTTTTTTGGCTGGTGCGACTTACACTCCGGTGCGACTTATAGTCTGGAAAATATGGTATGTAAAACTGACTTTAGTGAGCTTTTGGTAATGGTTTGATGCTGTTACCTCATCAAAAAAAAACGGGAATTGTGTTTTGTTTCATTCAAACATATCTGAATCTGAACAACCCTTTATTATTAATCTGTCTACATCTGCAAAGCTCAACGTACTCCACTTTATGATGTCATGAAGAGGTATGCATTTAACCTTTAGTTCAGGTTCAGAAGGCAGAAGACAGAAGGCAGTTCAAGCTCAGAAAACTTTCCTTTGTGGATCAATA